CGACCCTGGCGGGGCTGCACCGCTTAGGGAGATGCAGTGGTGGTGGGGCCGCGGGGGAAGAGACGTGTCGGTGTGTTGTTGCCGCTCGTCCTATCCTCCGCGGCCGAACGTGGGCGGTTGGCCCGAGGTGGGCGCTCCAATTATGTTTATTAAGTAAGCAGATTCCCCCGGATTAACAAAAAAAAAGCTCACATAGTTACAAGAAAAGCTAAGAAAATAAGTACTATAAGTAGCGACGTGCTACACCGGATACCTGCGGATATGAAGGGCGACATATTTTACATAGTTCATGCACGAAAAAACACTGTATTTATTGTTCTGTGGTTTAATCGGAGACCCGCGGTGTGAACCGAAGTATGAATAGATGCCCCGGCTACGTGAGCTACGCTAAGTTTAGCTTCGTTTGCGGTGTACGCTGCGTTTCAATGAAACACTGAAAATACGTGAATAACTTTATATTTTCATAGTTTTAGTATTTTTCTTGTTAATAACTTATAGACCACAGGTCTTACTCGTAAACTTAAATAATTATACTTTTAACATTACGTTATTTTAAGGAAAACATTATTTTGCACGGTACTCGGTAGAGTCAACGTAAAGAAAATGCAATATCACTTAATTGTAACAACAAAAAGGTAGTGATTAAAAAACAATCTGAAGACTTATGAACGCAGTGAAACAAATTTAGATATAATCATATCTAAATATGTAAGAAACTAACTAAAAAAACTAGCTTTGTAAAAAATATAACTACAGAAGACAACGAAATGTTTCACGCCTTCTAAAACGAAGGTAATTTCAACTTATCTTAATGTAAGTTTAGGTACTTTTGTTTTTTTTTCACTTATAACTTAAGAAGGCATATTACAATTATTTTTATGAGAAATCAAGTAAATAAGTACATAATTATGAACCTTTCTCACTTTTTCGACATTTTTTGGAATGCGAATTAACAATTTCTCAATCGAATCATTCGTAATAGAAAAATATTGGTTATTTCATTACTAAATAGTAAAAATGCACTATTTTAACACATAAAAGTCAAAAAGTTCTGACTAGACAATCACACACACATTAATTAAACTTTATAGTCATTTAAGGCCACATTTTCATGTCCATTGGACTTCGGCACTTCTTCATACAGGTACCTTCTATGTACTGCTACTGACATCACAGTGAGTCGAAACCATTCAAACGAGAAATAAATTCAGAAACGAATTTTATTGTTCCAAATTCGATATTTCGTCTGTTTCAGCGATCGTTGTTTTAGTGATGTGCTCATTCGCTGTTACGCCGGGATTTTTCTGATATTCTGCTGGAAGGTATATGTGCATGAATTTTTCTATTTCTCCTCTGCAAAGCGGACAGCGTTCGCATCTGTAACAAAGATATTACGGTAATTAGAAAATGTAAGATAATTATTATGCTTCTTTTATAACAGACCTTGCGTGGTTCCCGGTAATAGTTACGTTAGATCTCAGCCTATTAAATAGAAAATTAATTTTTACTACTGAAATAATCAATAGGCAGTTCTCAAACAATGTTTTAAATAATATTACTTTATAAAGGTACAGGTACTGTATAAGACATATAAAAAATTTATAATAAAAAATACAACACATACCTAGGAGCACATTCCTCACAGCAAACCACGTGCCGGCAGGGCAGGAAGAGGGTGTCCATGGCGTTGTCCATACATATACGGCAAGCTAGCGCGTCACCGCTGCCGCTGCCGCTGCGGGACCGTGAACGGGACTCCTATGGGACAACGAAATTTGATTTTAGTAAAAGTTTCAAAAATATATTTATTATACTAAGATTAAAGCACGGCTCAACAATGACCAGATACAGATATTTATTTAGAAAAGTCAGTTAATTTATAACAATTACTATCCTTACCTTATGATCTGTCCCTCCGCTAGATCTCCTGCGCTGTCGTGACTCGTGGCAAAATGCAGCATGCGCGTGCGCTTCTCTTCGAGCATTGTCGTGCACCTCTCGACACGTACGTCGGATGTCGAACACATATTTTCTGCCTAGAGTCGTTGAGTCGTTGAAGATTGATGCTATTGTGCCCTGCAAACAACGAAACGTTTCCTTAATTATAATGAACATAATTATGTCGTTTCTGTACTGAATTGCAATACATTATTAACTTATGTCATAGCACACATTAGACGTAAAGTAGTCATAGTCATCATCTTTATTGCACCAATGTTATAAGTTCTTAAGAGCAAATGGCAGTTCACAAAAAGAGCCCTCATATTAAATACATTATTTATTGTCATACACTATCTTCAAATAAACAAGATTAAAACTTCACTAGTCTATGTATATTGGTTTATATCAATCTAATAAAAAAAAATATTTCAAATTTGACTAAAGTTACGAAAGAATTCCGATTATTTAATGCGGTGCCAACTGTTTTAAAGAAAAGAAACATTTTAAGTTTTTGTCAAACATAACAAGGTTAGTTCGTTTTATGCGTGGTCAATTAGTAAGTTGAATTTTATTCATGAATCATGAATAAATAATACGGGAAGGCTTTGAAGACGCATTTAAACGTAGGCACCTAATAATTTGTCTAACAATGCGGAAAATGTGTGTATTAACATTACAACTATTTGAACGCATACCGGGAGTCATGTGTAATTAGATGTAAACATTTATATTTATTCTTTGCGTATAAGGTTTAACAAATGCATTGAGTTCGTAAAGAAATACAAAATTGGAAACAAAAAAGAGATTTTTTTCCACACAACATTATAATTGATGTTTTAGGACTCCATGAGATTACAATTTGTCAAACAATGACACAACTCCCAAACAATATTATTTTAATAACATAACACCGCAATAAAAACAGGAAAATCAAGTTGGAGGCACGTCTAAGGAATTAATTAAATAGTGTTAGAATGTTTATGCGATGTGTTCGTCCAAAGTACAAATTGTAATCATTAGCCACACTAATTAGCCTTGGCAACATATTACTGTATACATAATTTTAAAATAAATTACTTTTCACTTCGAAATTAGTTTTCCTAATTGTCATAAAATTTGCGATAGGGATTTGAGGATTGAATCTTTGAAATAGGATCTGAAATAGACCAAGGTCGGAAAATTGGGTAAATTATACATACCTTCAAATCCCTAATATACTGTTCAGTCACATCACTCCTCACTGTCTCGCAACAATAGAAGGCGTGCTTCTCGGTCACCGCGCGGTACAACGCCGCCGCCTGACTAGAAGTCGCCATCTTGACGTGCAACGTCGCTTCGTGCCCGTCCCCGGTTACGTATGACAACTGGAAGATGCGGCGACGAGGCTGTGCGCGATGTATCGCCGTGTATGGTATACTGAAAATAATTTAAAAAATGTCATTTCATGTTCAAGTTTACATGCGATATTTGTTCCTCTGGTGCGGACATAAATAAATTGTAAGTATTAGCTGTTTAATACGATGTTAAGTCAGAATCTTTGGCTGACTTGCGATGGGTTTTGTTAACTTTGTAGTCTTGTCAAAATCCTTTCATGTATAATTGTTAAGTAAGAAAACAGTTTAAAAACTACGAATGCGAACGCTAAAGATAAACAGAGGGGCGTTGTAGAGTAGTATTGTCGATCTACAATATTATCGGGACATTCTGTGTTAACTTGGCATGCTATTGGTCAAACTTTGAGTTCACTAAATATGATTTAGAGAGTTAGCAACGTCAATTATCTTATACACGTCAGTCACGGCTTTAAAATGTAAACAGGCGTTGTATAAAAAGAGAAATGAGGCAATAAGGTGTTTGCGCACTTAATCTTATCAAATAACAAACAAGAGTTTATCTAAAAACAATAGAACGTTGGAAGTTGAGAGGGCGATAATTTCGCGCAGAATATAATATTAATAAAACCTACCTCATACATAAATTTAGACATACGAGTGAAAACATGTTGACAACAATGAAGCTTAATTATCTATGTGGGGCGTTCTCGATATCATCTGTTTACTTTATTTGTTTTTGGAAAGGAGAACGAATCATTAATACAATGAGGGCATTGTTTCAACAACCTACTAAATTAACGTTGATAAAACACTAAGACATTGAATGGCCAAGGAAAAGAAAAATTACCGCTAACCTTTGTTTCTCAACACCAATTTCTTGTTCACCGTTGCAATCTGGCCTATAAACAACGATGCCATGTGGCCCGACTCCAACGCAAGTACTGAGCCTGCATCCACATCCTCCTACATTATGTCCGGATGCCAAACATCCCACTGTTGCGCCACCATCGATTTCCTGATCGTCTCTCGCTCTAGGCTCTTCGGCCTGTTGTCTATGGTACAACAAATGACTGTACAAATTGTGTGCGTTATTACTCTGTGTCACTTGTTTGCAGAAAAACAATTCTTCGCCAAATGATTCCAAATTGGAAATTTCTTTCAATAGTCTGTACTCGGCTTGTGACTCTCGCATTCCAGCGATTTCACAATGATAGTCAATTATTTTGTCCAAATGGTCTTCAGGCTTTTCGCCTTGTGGACCGATCTTGTTACACTCTTCATATATGTGTGTAGGTGGGAGGTCACAGTCGTAGTCACCAGTTTCAGCTTGAGCTATGTAGGCTATTATTCTCCTAGCGACTTCGAGGTCTGCTACGACTAGTCGTCCTTCTGTTAGGTCCAGTTTAGCGTCGAGATAGAACTGATGGCGAGTGGGTTCATTGATTAGGAGGTGTGGAGGTACCCAGAACTTGACGCGGAGATCTAGTCGGCCTCCGGATATGCGATGAGGGTCGAGGGGGTTCCGCAAGTTTAGCCATCTTCCGGGTCCTGACTCTGAACAAACGCGAAGCCCGAAGTAGTCAGCTTCAGCGCCTATTTCCAGTTTCTCGCATACCTGGAACAAAAAATTTAAGTAATAAATTGGAATTCGCAACTAAATCGATGAATATATATCGCTACCACGATATAATATATTTATATTTGCTCGATATTTTGGTGCGGTTTACACGCTCGAGAAAATATAAAGAAATCATATCGTGGTAATAAACCTGTAATTAGTGATAATCATTCAGTAAATAACCACAAAACCTTAAAACCTATATGACAAATATATTTTCTAAGTTAGGTTGCCAAAGTTCTAAAATTTCATAAGGTGAAGGCTGTTTCTATAAAATCATTGGCAGTTACATTCTATGCAATTTCTATTCATCGTATTATGTAGATATTTCGACAAAGTAAGCAGACTAATTGCGGGTTAGAAATTGATTCATCTCGGCTCAATCTCTTGAAAACATTTAAACCTTGTTTAGCAACATTGTAAACAGTGAAAGTAGTTTATAAACATCAGAACCTATAATTTGGCTCCATTTTAGTTATACATATTTTAATGCTAAATAAATTGATTATACGATTAAGGGAATTAAAAATACGAAGCCATATTTAAATAAATGATAATGGACGCAATCACATCAACAGACAACAATTATATTAAGCTTTTATCATGAAAGCAATCGTGATAAATTTAATACGAAAAAAATTCAAGAAATATGAACAAGATAACCATGTAAACAAAATCTAAGTCCTTTTATTGCGACGTTATTAAACTGCGTCGTTTGAAAACATCGAAAACAGTTATTTGCATTTAATGTCTAAATGATATATGTAGGTACTTATGAAAAGGATTCAAATTTAAATGCATCCTTTTCGCCATGGTCAGTTAAAAGGACACAACTTATAAATCAGGTTAACGAAATTAATCGATATTAACAAATTATGTTTTGCGCCAGATAAAAAGCCACTTCAAATATTTATTTCGAACCTAAAGATAAAAATTCTATCAAAGCATTCTAGCTAAAGTAAGTTAAAAACGAACTCTCTAAAGAGACTGATTTCTTCACAGTTAAAATTTTGGTTTAAGGACTAAATGGCTTGGCTACAATCATACCTAATGTTATGTGACAATGGCATGCGTTTATCGAATACATGCTTATACACTTATTAAACATCGTTTAAACGTGTATTACGCTATATTAGCGTGTTCTTAAATTGTGTTTTTACTTATTAGAAATGAACTCAAAATGTTTGGTAACAATATTTCGTTTGCAAAATAAATTATCACAACGGTATAGCGCGCCATAGCGCAGGTAGTGTAAACAAAAATCCAAGATGGCTCAGATGACAAATATTTACTATGAAACGAATAGGACTGCTACACGATACGCTGATATATTGTGTCAATGAAGGGATTGTGTTCCTCCATATAGTGTTACTAGTCTGTTTTTATGAATTATCTAACCTATTTTTGATACGTATGTAGTGCCTACAAAAACAACACAATAACAAGATATTCTACACTTCATAGTTACAAGTTTTATTCTTAATTAAGAGGCCTATAAAAATTTGGTTGCCATCGTGTTGCGGAAATCCGTGAAAATTAATGTCAAAACTTAATAAATAATTAGCGTCATAGTGCAAAAACTGCAAAACAATGCCAACGTGCTAAAAACAACTTATCGTCTGGTATATAGTTAAGTCGGAGTTACGTTCGAACATAACGAACTCTAGGTGCGTAATTAGTTGATCAGGAAAAAAGGTTCTCCACAATTCTACATTCTGAAACATTGTAGACAACACTGAATTAATTATGAGCCTCGTCATTACTCATTCGCATCACGAGTTTGTAGCATGTCTTCTATAGCAAGTGCACGCGTTAATGTGCAGGTTGCACTTGTGTAAATTGTAAGTAAAGCAACACGGGGGAACCTCGTGGTTGAATAATGGTTTTATAATGGAAAATGGTGTGGTTTCTTAACAAGTGTTACTATCGTAACAAAAACGTCACCTTACCAATGTTTGGATTTCTTCCATCTTATGATGATTTAATATTATTATATTGCAAAGATATGGCGGCCGTGCTTTTGTAAAACCGTTACATTTGTAGTTAAACTGTTCCTATTCAATATTTATAAAGAAATAGTAAACCAAAAGCAATTTATAATGTAAAAAAATCTAGATTTATTTGCATCGCTTCTTTTGGGAAATTTCGTTCCATAATATGAAATAATTCTGCATTAAATTGGCAAGACGGATGAGTTTGTAATTTAATTTAGCGAAAACGTGATGGATATAAAGTAGAACAAATATATTATATATATATTGCTATAGGGTATTAGAGGAAATGTCCGTAAATAATTTAATGAGATAATTTTTTTTAAAGTAGCCATTTCGTTCACTAATAACATTTCGTTTTTTATTTAATCAGATAAAAGACTTTTATTTTCTAAAGTGCCGTATGTACATATCAAAAGGATATGGCACAAACAACACCATACCTACTAACATCTTAAAAATTAATTCTGTTTATTAGTAGTTCTGAAACAAGTTTCCGACCGTAATACAAGCCAGCCACACGGAAGACAATAAAGACCAAAAGTTTTACAACTCATATTTCTAAAGCAGCAAAGGTTATTTTATTATAACTTACTACTTCAATATATAAACAAGTGAGCTAAAAGCAAAACATGTGTGTTCTAAATACGCAGATGTAATTTTAGCAGCGCGTCTGTTTTTAACCGCTCTTTTGTTTTGCATCTGTGAATTATCACTTTATCACGGATTAAGAAAATAGAAAATATACATATAAATACACTTTAAAATGGGAGTGCAGGGCGAGATATCGTTACAAGTCCCTTGTTGTGTAGGACACAAAAGGACAAGCTAAAAACGGCAAGTAACGTCTGGATGCCCGCCGCGTCTATCGGACGTCGGCGTCGGTCTAATGGCCCGCCATACACGGGGCGTCTAAAACCACACAACTCATAGGTGTCGTCTTCATAACGATTATTTCATTTTTGTGAAGAAAAAGCAGTGAAAAGTATGTTTTGTCTTTGTATCTACGAAGATCTTGCACGCGCATGTAAAAAGAGTTCAATGGCCCTGGAAATAAAGTTAATTTTTTTGCTCAAGTTCCTTCATACAAATAAATACATACATATTTTTAGAGTTTTTTTTTAATATTTATTTAAGAACAAATGTGAAGTACCTATTACAATTCGTTTTGGATTCGGTTATTTTCGTAACATCTGCGACTTCGTATTGTATATACTGTATTATATATACTGTATATTATACTGTATTTCACGTGAAATGTTGGTTGTTTTGTTAGTATAATTAATACCTACAATGAAAACTTCTCTCCAAATGAAAACTTTTCTCCAATGACATGTAGAGGTGGAAAATAAGTATACCGACTTTATGTGATGATGCAATTAAAGCAAGAGCAACATTTCAAACAAAAGCTATGTTCATCCCCAACGCAACATGTTAAACTAGTCAAATATTGTTTCAACAAACTCAGTGAAACTTTTCGTACAAAATTTCGTAAGACTCTTGGATTTATCTACCAACAAATCCAACTTACAGTAGCACGCATCTCGTGCGTGATACTGTCGAGCTTAGGTGTGACAGAGAAGGTTGTATACGTTAGAAAGATGCGGAGAGAAAACATCTGGGACGTTCTTTGGCCGACGTTCGTTTACAGATTTAGCCTTTTTTTTTCTAGGTTTTAAGCTCTTAGATCACTGCACTAGCTTTTGAATTCTGCGCAATTTATATCAAACATTTTAAAATTAAATAACAGAAACTGCGTACAGCTATAACACCGTGCTTTTCAAAGGTTGGCTGCACTCTTCGACTGAAAGCGATCGTTTGTACGTCAATTGTATAACACCTTAATCGCGTCAATTATAATACCTTAGACTACTCCTTTATTTTTTTTCATCCTCTAAACACCTTACTGTGTTAAAGAATTTGACAACGATGAATACTTGTTGTTTTCGAAACCTTTGATCAAAAATGCATTCGTAAGGAATTTGTAAGTGTTTTCCGAGAACCATTTGAAGATTTGAATCATTTAACGAGTTTGATCATTAAGGTTGGCGACATTTATTTTATCTAAACTAATATACACACCTACTTACAGAGGAAATATTTATTTGTGTATAAGCATAATAATATGCTTGTGCATTTTGTATATTAATGTCTCGGTACATTGGTGGCATCTTGCTAGTTACAGGTACCTGTGACTTACGCACATGAAAGTACTACTAATAACACTATATGTTCAGATCATTGCACTTAATTTCCGTTTCAACTGCGAGGTCCTTAAATGTGATTTAAATATTTGCGCATTTGCGAACAACACTTATATTTATATGTAGTTTTCTTTTGTTTCATTATCTATGCACACATCCGCTAATAGTTTTGTTATTGCATTTTCGTTTTCAGACACTTGACCGATATCAATGTTTGTTATATTATATCGAATCAATGACCTTCGTTTTTATAAGTTGTTAAAGGCATCTACCGGTGGGTTACTATTTCGAGGAATATTTTCAAATATCGTAACACTATGAAAAGTTCCTTCGATCAGCAGACCGTGTCCAACGCTCTCCCAATTGAGATACGGAATGAACCAGCAGATCTTACGAATCTTTCTTTCCTTGTTGCAGATTTTCAACGATGAAGAAACTACGGGAGTAATTTCATAAAAAATAATTCAACCACCATCATGATAGTGAAACATCGTCATATTCAATAAACTTAACAAATCTATAAGCGGGCGTGTATTTCAAGACTGATGTCCACAAGTTTGTCAAAATGGTAATAAGGCTACAAGGAATACCATCTTTGCCAATTCTAGTGGGAGATAGCCTTGATATTATGCTATATATATTAATCATTGTTTTAAGTATCGTTCGAATGTTAGTCAGGGGGTGTAAACACGCTACGGCTATGACGTCACTTCCATATTTATTTGTTACATAATTATTTATTAAAAGAAGATCGACGAAACGGGATTTTTGTTAAGGGCCAATGCGACCTCATCCACGACCA